AAAATCACCTTATTTAAGTATTCAAACTTGATAAAAGAATATGCTTCTATTTCTCATATGGGTTTTATACTCTTGAAACTTATGTTTTATAAAAAGAGAATTTCTATAAAACATAGGACATTCAACTTCTCTTTTTTTCATTCTTGAAATTTCAAATAGCTTAGCTCCATGACAAAGAAAATTATAGACTACACAGTATTTACATAAGATGGTTTTAATTTAATCAACAGAAATTTCATTTGTTATATAGCTTAAAACAATATTTTAACAAAAATACTATGTAAATATTAAAATTGGAAGGAACATTAAAATCCATCTATCCTAACCTGTCATTTAAAGATGGTAAAACAGAGAACCAAGATTAGGTGACCTGCCCACAATTGTATAATCTCATACTCATTACCTGACTTTGAATCCAGTATCTTTCACTACTGTGCTGAGAAATGACTCCCTTCCAGGGTAGTTCTTACCCACTCATGAGTGGCTGAGGAAGTTGGGCCTACCTGTGATGTCCTAATCAGATGAAAAAAAGTGGGTGAGGGGCTCTCTATTTCTACACAGAGCTACCCCCACTTTACTACTATCCCTGGCTTCTGGATTCTGTTCCAAAATGGGAAAAAGGCTGACAGTAAAAGCACACCTGATAGAGGGGGTGTAGAAATAAGTGGGAAATAATCTAGACATCCATCAAAGGAGGAATGATCAATTTATAGTACATCTGCCATACTCCGAAAGTACTATACACTCTCTTAAAAAGAATGTGGTAGATACATAATGGCATGTGAGTTTAACATCAATTTTTAAAGTGTGTGTAAACACGTACAAATACACACAATTATAGTCATAGATATTTTCTAGAAAAATAGAGAAGAAATTCCCCTCTGTGGAGTAGAGTTGAGGGAATTAGGGTTGGAAAGAGACATTCTGTCACATTCTTTGATACTGTTTCATCTTTTTTACTTTATGCATGTTTTAGCTTCTAAACTCTAATACTTTAAAAAGTACATTAAAGCAGAGACAGGAACTTCTACAGAGCCCTTGGAGAAAACGGCGGTCTTCATATAAGTCTAATGATACATTATATTTAATTTTCTAGGGAAGACTTTCAAACCCTTTTCATGTCATGGTTATGTGTATTAGGGTTCATGAACAAGGCTTCATAAACAAGATAAAATTTGTATAGCATACTGGAACAAACAGGAAAAGACGGGAGTACAACTGTATTGGGTTTGGTAAAAAATGTTCACTCCATTTTCTTTATATTTTATCATTACAAGAAAAATAACAGGGAGTTATTAGAGAAATTATTTTCTATAAAAGTTTTGAATAAAAATCTATTTTAAAATGATTTAATTTCAATTTTAACAGCAAACTGGTTGGCAAACTTTGCTCTGGCACAAGTGTAGTAGTCTAACTATATTCGAGAGTTCAAAGGGATAGCAGAGATCATCCAGCTCAGTGAAATGAAACCAACATTTTTTTGAAAAGAAACAACAGAAAATAGCAGATTATTTAAATTCTCAACAGATTCAATTTATTTACAGTAAAGCTTTAGTTTTCATGTCATTGAAAAATGATTCTGGATTAATATCTAAACTTTTTTTCCCCCAATTCTGATACTTTCCCTTTAAGGTTTCTGTAATAAGCATGTGTCTTTATAAAAAGAATTAGGGTATTCTAAGTTGAAAAACATCTTAGAGAGCTAACCCAAATTCTTAATTAAGTAAAGAAACTCATGTCCAAAGATGTACACCAGCCTCTTGATTCCCAGGCTAGTAGTGTTTTTTTTTTTTTTTTCTGTGATAATAGGCTTTTACTTTATTCTCACATCCTTCTGAAGTTAAAAGATAGCTAAACACAGTTACAACCAAGATTCTAAGAGGAAGTTGAAACAAGGGGACAATAGGCAGTCTAAGACCAAAAATGATGACACAATGTTACCCCCAAAATATTACAGAAATCTGCCATTTTCAACATTCAGCTTTGATTTCAAATGGGGCAGGTTGTTGCACTTACTTGCATGAATGGGTGTGTCACCCCCAAAGAGTGTACAACACACCACAGCGGGACAATAGTCATCTCAAAGCACAGCCTTTCTTTCAACATGGCAACTTCTGTTTCAGTGCATAATAGAACACTTCACATAAATTTAAAATTCAGCTCAAAGAGAACCCCAATATGTGAGTGGGGGAGTCAGACCCCATTGCAAAGAAAGAAAGAAAGAAACAAACAAAAAAACGCAACTGCTGAACATGGACCTCAATGAGCAACAATAATTCTCCTGTAGTTCAACTTACCAATCACGTCACAAACTCTAGAAAGAAGACAGAACACAGAACTGCCGAGGCATGGAACAGAACTTTGGGCTGCAGCCTGCCCCAACTCTTCTGACAAATACCCAACAGCAACAGGACAAAGCATCATTATGGCAGAAATAAAGGCTCTTTAGATGCTGCCTTTTTTTAATTCAATGAACCCACTCTTAACACACAAAGTTCATGCCACGATGTCTCGAAACGCAGTATTGCCAGATTAGGACATCAATGGTCTAATAAATTCAGTACAAAACACTACTTTAAACACTTTTATGTTAAATAATTAGCACATTTGGGAGATGACTAGTATTCTCCTTCATTCATACAGTTAAACATCCTCCAAATAGAAACAATAACATTTCAGTATACTGTGAAAGAAAAGAAAGAAGCAGACAAGTGAACTAAAAATAATAAATAATTAGTTGAGTAATAAAGCCACAGATTCCTCCCAAAGACTACTGCATGTTACTTAGCAGGTGGCAAAAATAACCATCTATCTTATCTATGCATCCCTCTAAGCTGTGAGCTACCAGTATTACAATAGACAATCCATTACTTACCAAAAAAAAAAAAAAAAAAATTAAGCCGCCGTACATTTCTTAAGCTGGTTTTCGTGTGGCAATTCTGATGCAATGCTGCCCTAAAAATGAACTTTGTTTTAAACAGCATGATATCCACACTCGGTGTGGTTACAGCAAGGGTGGAGCCCACTCTGGGGGAAACAACACACCCAGGCAGACTTCAGTGAGAGCAAACAGCACATTAATATTGCCACATTTTTTTCAGAGCCTCAGAGTAAAAATTAATTGCCTAATCCTCCTTAAAGATATAGGGGAAAGGTTCATATTTGTAGATCAGTTTTCTGGAGCAAACCTTTGTCTTGGAGGAAACTGCATAGACCCATTTCTTTTTTGTGAAGAAAACGGACAAAATGCAAGATAGATCATGCAGAACATTAGGTGGAAACAGACTACTATAAAGGAAGTCCAACAATGCCAACTTCTATGTTTAGCAACAGCAGTTTTTACATATCTCAAGGCGTCAGAAACACTGCTCATTCTAGAACATTACTTTGGTATATTTTCAGAGCACCTGAATATGAACACAAGCAAATTACCTACTTTCTCCCCTCACCAACACTTTGCTTTTCCCAGCAACAAAGGTACAATAAAAACATTTTCTTACCAATTAGTAAGGGTTGTCTTCAAAAATGAGATGTGAGTATGGACTTTCTTTGGTAGGACAATAAATGCACACATAAAAGGAAAAATTATTTTGAGAAAACTTTAAAAATGTTTACAACCATCCATTTTCAAAGAATTTTAATCTCAAGACTTTTTTTCCAAATAAAAGATTCATAGGATATATATGTAAGTAGCATCTAAAAGTCTTTGTGTCTAAAATAATTTGTCAAAACTGAAACTATTAACATTCAATAATTGTTTAAAGTGACTTTAACCAATACTGCTTTCTATACATGCACATCCAGAGACACAAAGTTATTTTTCAGGGAATTCTATCATGAAAAAAATACTTCCAATTAAAATATCCATGCATTTAAAAAACAAACAACATAATTGTTTACATAGAATTTAAAACAAACAATAGAAAAGGCTTTGAGGGAAGACAAGGAAAATATTATTTTAATGATACATGCTGTCATATTGTCATCCCCAACTTCACTTCTTGGTATTGATAGAATAAATCAGCCTGGAGTATTGGACATTTCAGTATTTTTGAGAGATGGCCTTGAACACCCGCTTTCAGATTCTAGGAATGATGTGCTGATTGATTGAGCCTTTGTTGAATTGCCATGTAATAAAGTGACCATTGCAAAATCCTTTCATAATCCAAGTGCTCAGTTCAATTTTTTCCAATCATATATGTAATCATGAATCACCTGCTGCCATTCTTTGTTCTTTCTCATCTCACCCTCATACTGAACAACTGAAAGGTACCTGTTGGATATTTATTAAAAGAATTGCATTCTGATACTTTCTGGATCTACACTGTTGGAAATGTCTGTTTTCAAGTCAAACTTCACTTTCACAGCTGCAAAGGAAATGACAAAAGAAGAAAAACACAGCCAATATATATCAGCAATTAATTCCATCCACAACTGCCCAGCTGTTTCTGCAGGGAAGAATCAGTCTGTTTCCTTTTGGGGCTTTCGCCACTGAAAATTGATACTGCACATTCAGAGACACAAGCTGTTTGTAACATGTCAGGAATGTGCATAAGATCACACAGAGCTGAAGAGAAGAAATGAAATCCAGATCATTTTCTTAGGACTTGCCAATATTATTTCATAGCTTTAAAAACTCATAAAAACATACCAATCACAGAGAGAGAAAAATATATGAAAAAATACTCTCCCTCTGAATATCATCCTTCCAATAAAGAGGAAAATCTGCCAATGACATCAGATTTAGTACCAAGAGCAGACACTCTGATTTATTGGCATAAACAAGGTGGGACATTCTTAGCAGTCCACATGCCCCCAGTACATTAAATCCAGCTAATATTTTTTGGACTACACAGCTGCTTGCCCAATGTGTAGTTTGTCCCTTTAAAAAAAAAATCCTTTAAACTGTGAAAGTTGTTAGGAACCAATGCTTTCACCACAGTCATGCAGTAAAGCAAGTTTTTCTTGGTTAGTTCAGATTACTTGGTCCACATATATACCTGTCTATTTCAAGGATTCACGTGTATTTTACAGATCCAATCTTCTCAGGTAACTTTCAAGCAATCAAACTTCTTTTCTTCCCTCATCAGTTTTCTGGAGTTAAAGAAAATAGTCTGTACTGAGTGCCAGAGAGCTTAATGACAGTATGATGTGTAAATCAACAAGTACAATGGCACCCCCACTCCAATTTTATTTCAGATCTTACAAAATGTCAATTTGTTATTATTTTCAGTACATACAATGAGTTGCATTTTAGGTACATAAATGACTTTTGATTAGTTATTGTTATGAAAGAGAAAAGAGAAAGATGGCATTTAAGAAAAAAATTAATTCAAGCCATATTTTAGCCTCTTACTGTTTTTTTTTTCTTTTATTAAACAGGAAACCAGGTATGCTCCTGATTGAATTCATTGTCCTAAGGGCCTGTTCCTTCCCCTAGTGCTCAATGATCAATGTCAGCTGCTCAAGAGTTCATACACTCCTAAGCCTGTATATTCTCAAAAATATAGATGGGACATTCATTCTGGGTATCCCCAGGGTCTAAGGCTTAACTAGTGAAGAGAAGACAAGCTGTCTATTCCAAATATAAGAGTCAGAGAGACATTCCATAATCATCTGAATGAAGATGCTCTCAAGTGCCAGAACTCAAACCAGCACAATAAGAAGTTGTCTTGAACTAAAGCTCTATAAATCCTGAAAGCATGACATTTCATTTGCTAAATATGTGGGAGACTGAAAACAAATCATGAAACCAAAAAAAAAAAAGAGCTTCTTCCTTTCCAGCAAACACCATCTGGACAAGGATATATGAAGGAGTGGGGGAGAAGTTTAATCTTTGGGTGATGGTGACATTAACTTCTAGAAACATGGTATAACCATTAGTGACTAAAACAACACAAGGATGAGTTTTGCTTGGCAAGCTTCAGCTCTGTGGGACATTTGGTCTAGCTTGAAATGTCTAAGGGAAGGAACTTCCCCACCTACAAGACTGGCTAAGGAAAGGAGAGGTCTGTCTGAGCTGTTTAATTCAGATTACTTGAGCCTAAGCCAGTCTAACTAAAAACTGGATTGACCTTAACAAAGACCTTCAAGGAGGCCACTCATATGAAATTTAAAAATGAATTTCTCCCAATAGTTTATTATAAATAATTATGTTTTATTTATTTACTTCTTATTTCTTTATAAAAACTTCAAGCATACAGCAAAGGACTTTACTAATGAACATCACATAAACACTACCTAGTTTCTACCCATTAACAATGTACTGCACTTGCTGTGACACATTATTTCTTCATCTATCCATCCCTCCAGCTAGCTACTAACCCATTTTTTTAGTGCATTTTAAGATAAATTAGAGATATCTGCACCCCCCTCCCCGATACTTTAGCCTGCATATCCTTACCTAGAGTCCAATATTTATTTATAACTTTCTATGTATAATTTACATACAATGAGATGATGAATCTAAGTGTACATCTGGATAGAACAGCCTATACCCCTCAAAGTCCCCTCAAGACTCTTCCCAGGTGATTTCTACTCCTACTTCCTCAGAGGCAATCACCTCAAAATAGTTTGGCCTTTGGGCTGGGGATGTGGCTCAAGCGGTAGCGCGCTCGCCTGGCATGTGTGCATAGGCACGGGTTTGATCCTCAGCACCACATACAAAGATGTTGTGTCCGCCAAAAAACTAAAAAAAAAAAATAATAATATTTTTTAAAAATTCTCTTTCTCTCTCCTCTCTCTTTAAAAAAAAATAGTTTGGCCTTTGCAACCTGTGCATTAGAACATTTCTTCACTGTCTCACAAAACTTGTACTTGTTACACAGAATGACAACTAGATCTATTCAAATCATGAATAGATGGGAGAAGCCAAGAAGAGATCATAACTTAAAGAAGTATAGACTCATCTACTTTAATTATCCAACTGCTTAGGGGAGGGAAACAAGATTTACAAAGTTTTAATTGCCTGTCCTACTAGTCTGTCAACTAGTCAGTCATTTATTCGCAGGGCCTCATCTAAGGCTTTTCCACAGAAGCTCTATGCCTCATTTTAGGATGAAGGAGAAGGTAGAGATGTGCTAGCATCTTTAACAATTTTTTTTTTAACTCCTTTGAGACTCAGTTTTCCTAGCTATAAAACAAGAGAAATCTTTTTTTTTTTTAGTTGTAGATGAATACAATACCTTTATTTATTATCTTTATGTGGTTCTGAGGATGGAACCCAGTGCCTCATACGTACTAGGCAAGCAATCTATCACTGGGCTACAAACTAACCCCTCAAACAAGAGAAATCTTAACTTGAAGTTATACAGAGATAGTTTATAAAGTATCTGGCATGTGGTAAGTGATCAAAGAAGGAAACACAAGAAGTGAAGAGACAAATGACAGTATGAGATACAATTCAAGAACTGAAACAATCACATACTGCTTTCTAAGCATGGTGCTACCTATATTTGGTTCTCATTTGGTATATGTAAACAAAATGACAGCAAATAAATCCTATATAGCTGCATTACAAAATTCCTCCTACTAGCTAGCTGCCTCCATGGGTTCCTCTATACAACTAGGAGCATCTCCCACTGGACCACCTCAAGTTCCTGAGGAATGGCTATGCCTGGGTAAATGGGTATTCAGTTATGATCAAAGTAGCAAAAACAAACAAAAAAAACAACACAAGGTTGAATACCACAAAGGAAAGCCAAGTGACAGAAAATGGGAGGGAACACAAAGAGCATAATGACAGGCATGAAATTTTAAAAGAGATTAAAAGCCAACTGTGCTAATTTTTGTGTCAGAGAAGACAACTGCAGTTTAAGAGCCATTTGAATAATTCAGATTGCTATGTACTTTATATACTTATCCAGTGTACTCCCCTTAACAACCCTATGGATGAGAAGACTAAAACTCAAAAAGAGGTTAAGCAAAGAAGGTCATATAACTAGTGGCAATGGAAGTAGGAATAATTTTTTCATACCTGGTGATTTTCCTAAAAGGCCAATTTTATACACAGTGAGGAGACTCTGGATCTAAGAAACCCTGGACAGTTGTGGGGACAACCAAGTTGTACAAGAAATTCAGCTGAGGGTGTAAAACTCAGGGTAGTGGGGGAAAAAGCCTGGACAAAAAGTAAATCAAGCTGGGCATGGTGGCATATGCCTGTAATCCCAGCAGTTCAGGAGGCTGAGGCAGAAGGATAGCAAGCTCAAAGCTAGCCTCAATAACTTAGCAAGACCCTAAGGCTGGGGATGTGATTCAATGGTTAAGTGCCCCTGGATTCAATCTCTGGTACCAAAACAAACAAACAAAAAAAAGTAAATCAAAGATAAGATGGTACGAACTGTGAGTTCCAAGAATTTTGCTTCACAGAACAGTCTGCCATCCTAGAATCATGCAGCCCCACGTCAGAGATGCTCCCATAACTGTAGGAGGGCTCAAGAGTAAGTCTTACTTTCTTACAGGTTTTGTTCCCCAAACTATCTGTTCTCAGAGGGATGATACAATATGGTAACTCCTTGATAAGAGTGCTGACCATGGGTTCATACTTGAGAAGATAATGAGTGCCTCTCTCCAAGTTGGTAAAATGCAACTCTGTTTGCAGGCATCCCAGGCTACATTCTGTAACTTCCCATTTGAGGAATGGCCTGAGTCTTGCCTCCCTTGCAAAGATGAGTTTGAAGGACAGTCTCTCTCATGGAGCATAAAGCTTCAAGGCCCCCAACCCTCTGTAAAACCTCCAACATAGCACTCCTTTTGCCAGCTCACACTTGTCTGTTCACTGGTACAACTGACACACAGGTGGTGAGCAACCTGTGTTATAGATGGTAAATGGATAGTGTTCTTTGTCTATTTAATGTTTATTTGATAAAAGAAGTAATTCAGGGGCTGGGGCTCAGTGGCAGAGCGCTTGCCTAGCACATGAGAGGCTCTGGGTTCGATCCTCAGCACCACATATAAATAAAGTTATTGTGTGCAACTACAACTAAAAAAATAAATAAACATTTAAAAAAAAGAAGTAATTCAGGATTTAAAGAGGAAATTATAGAAAAGGCAAGATTGGGGATATGAAATATGGTTAATATTCAAAATGTTTTGTTCTGGATTTTTAAAAAGATACAATATAACCTATAATGATTTACAAATTAAGTCTTTTGAGATAGAAGATGCAATCTAGCAAATCATTAGTTATAAAGATTACGCATGATCCACATTTAACACATTGAACTGGTGAAACTGTATTGTATCTTCAAGATTGCCAAGCTTTGAAGTGGAAAACAAAATATGGCTTTGATTATCACAGCACAATATTTCTGAAAACAATGACAAAGACTACGTTTAAAAAAAAAAAAAAAAAGTATGGCTGGGTGCAGTGTCACATGCCTGCAATCCCAGCAGCTTGGGAGGCTGAGGCAGGAGGATCACAAGTTCAAAGCCAGCCTCAAAATGGCAAGGCGCTAAGCTACTCAGTGAGATCCTGTCTTTAAATAAAATACAAAATAGGGCTGGGATGTGGCTCAGTGGTTGAGTGCCCCTGAGTTTAATCCCCAGTTGGCACTCCTCCCCACTCCAAGAAAGAATACAGAATGAAAAATGAAAAGTAAACATATAAGTGCTATTTAAAAAACATACAGGGGCTGGGGGATATAGCTCAGCGGCAGAGAACTTGCTTAGCATGTGCAGGGCCTTGGGTTCAGTCCTCAGTACTACAAAATACTACAGCAAATCCCCCAAAACCTACAATCATGAATAACTTAAGATAGAAGATGTATCTTCTGTTTTTGGAAAGAGTCCAAAAACAGAATAAAAAACAAGTAAAAATAAAATGTAATATAGCTACAATATGTGAAACATTCATGAGACACATAACTTCTAGTTGTTTTTACTTTCTAAATCTTAATATTGAGATATAATTTTCATCTTTGACTGTGGTAATACTTAACATGGGATCCACCTTCTTGAATTTTTTTCAATGTAGTATTTTTGATTACTGGCCCTCTCTAGAGCTTATTTATCTTGCTTGACTAAAATCCCCTTCCCCTGCATCTTCTTGTTACATATATTACTTCTGCTTTCATCTATCCCATCTAAGAGTATGG